GACATTCCATTAATGCATTTCAAGAATAGTTCATCAGTGCAGCCTCTTCAGAGAGCCGGCGCTCTTATTACCATTTCTCTTTGCTGCACTATCCGCAGTGTGCGAGTGATACACATTTTCCTCTCTCGCTCTGCCTCTGTTCTAACGCTCTAACCAAAACCGCGAGGTGATATAGGAGTGGCTTTGCGGTGTTGCGCTTGTCTCTGCGGAATAGCGTGGAACACATTCTGCCTTGCGTTGCGTACGCACGCCAGAGCACGCAAAAAAGTCGTGAACGCGAGATGAATTACTGATTCAGCCTGCGATCATGTTTCCGGCTATCGAACGCGATAGAGCTGCAGGATCAATCATTTAAAGATACGAGATGTCCGATTGAAATGAACACGACAATGGTCATTAATTTGTTTTTAAAAATTTACAAAATTTTGGCACGAAAAATAAAGTTTAAAAATAAAAAATTACAAAGATAAAAAGGATAATAAATTAGTTTGAAAAGAGAAAGGTCGACGGAAGAATTAAAATTTTGCTTCTTTCGAGTGATATTTGGTATTTCTTAACGGTAAGCACTTAATGATATTCAAATGATTGCACATCAATTGTTCGTATTTATATCGAATTGTATACAGTTGCTATAAAAGCTTTGATTATTTCAAACTCAATACTCATTAACCGTTCGTTGGTAATCAATAAGGACGGATATAATTGATGAAAATGCTCGTTCATATTTATTTCATCTTGCAAAAATATTTGAGATTAAAATTCCCCGTGCACAATTTTTACAGACAATAATTAAAGGCACGTGTAAAAAACAGCATCTCAATCTTCCTCATCTGCATGATAAAAAAAATCTTCATAACGAACGGTATGTAGAAACATTCACCGGGGATTTATCGATGCGTATTATAAACATTATACACGTAATGAATATGTAAAATGATTATGCATATCGTTAACGCGCATTACGAGCATATTGCGATAATTCTGATCGATTTAAACGTTTAATTATTTCGCGAATGTCAGTAATTACGAGCGCTGTTGTACTTACGTAATGTCGTTTCCGACGTAATTATGCATTTACTATTGTGAACGATATACCAGCGTTGTTAATAACTCAGCATTCATTGTAACAAACGATAATCGAGGCCCTAAGAGGCGAAGTTTATCGACCCTTTTGTTGCATATGGCGCATGCATGCGTGAGAACATGTTCTCAGTGTACTGTACGTTATTACTTTGTCAGGTAATATCTTTAACATACTTTATAAATATATTATAAAAATATATGAAAGAGATGATGTATATAAATGCAGAAATATCGTTTGATACATTAACCTTACAAAGATAAAATATTGAAATTTTTGCACACATAATTGCATTTAATTTAATAACTGTTCGTTAGTAAATTAAGTAATTAATAAAAGCGTATAATTTATATACATATTTGCATTTAATTTACTTTTTATCATTAAACTGCTCGAAGCTTTCAAAGTCGCAAAGGAAATATCAAAATGTTAATTATTATTACATATATTTGATTGCATAAATAAAGAGGAAAATAATTTAAATTACGTAATAATGAATCAAATTTAATTTTAATTGTTGCATGTGTAGATAATGGTAGGAGCAAATAGAAACGAGTAAGCGGATCAAGCTAGGTATTTGCCTATGCTTGCGGAAAGTATTACGACGTACCACTAAAAATTAACGCGGAGTTTGTGTGCGCCAAGAGTGGCGCCGCACAAACTTTTATTGCATTTCCTTATTTTTCGCGAAAAAGGTAACCTTTCTCTATCCAGCTTTGCCCTACTTGGTCTTCTTTAATTAGACATCCTCGTGTACTCCACACATTTCGTGGCGTCGCAGTCATTCGCGAGACAAGTCGCGGAAAATTAACATGTTTCTTATAGTTCGTCGCGTTTTGCTCACGCGTTGCAATTGCCCACGTTGTGTTTTGTCCACGCGTTGCAATTGCCCACGTCACAATTTGCCCGCGCGTTGCAATTGACCACGTCGCGATTGCCTCTCCAAATATATTTCGTATATTGAAAAAAGTCGGTTTTAAATAAATTGACAAAAAAAATTACCAGAGATTATTCGAGACTAAATAATATTTACTCAATTTTTTTTTAAATAATAAAAATTATTAAAAATAACATTAATGACAATAATAACTAAATATTCACATTTCGTCATACCGCCCCCCCCCCAAAAAAAAACAACTCTCTGGATCCGCCACTGTTCCTGCCTTCCGTCGCTTGCCCATCGCCGCACCAAAACCTGTCCCGATCGTTATAAACCGAAATTTGGAGTCCGTGGTTTCGTCGTCCACGCTCTAAATAAGCAAAAAGTGATAACGCCGCAGAATTACACCGGCGCAGTCGAGTCGGACGTGCACCGACCAGTGCAAACATCCATTCGCATTGCACGTGCGTGCGGCGTATCCGCGGCTCTTGCAAGGACAGATATCGCTTGTTGGCAGACTGCGATAGTCAACGACGTGGCCAACGGCGTCGGGTAATTCAGAGAGAAATAGTAGACGCGCTGCAGCGCGGCGTCACCAGCGGACCTCAGTAACCGCAGATTTACGAGCGTCACGCTGCTTGCCGCAACGTAAAATTAGAGCGCTTCCGGAAATGCGTTCATTCGACCTCTTCCCGAAACGTCAGCCCCGGAATCAGATCCGAAAATCCCTCCTCATCGAGTACGAGAGTGACGATTTAACTATAGCGTCACTCTAAAACTCCCTTATAACTCCCGAAGAACGAATCGAAGATGATAAAAAGAAACGAGGAAAATGCTGTCGATCGATTTTTCTATTGCTACACCCTGATAATATTACCTTGATAATTGAATCACATATTAAAGCTTTTGAGATCATAAATTGTGAAATGTTCTTATTTCACGATGTTATTTAAATTAAAAACAAACCGAGTTCTAAAAGAACAGACGAGATCTATTCATAAATTCTAATTATAATGCTTCTTCTCATAAACAGAAGATCGTGATAAGCAATTAAATGAAAGATCAACCGTAGACGTAAACACTTATTCAATGTTACAAGCCAACTTGTTGGCTCCTAACACCTCTGGAAGCTCCCGGTTTCAATTATGACTCGTTAGTCGTAACTATGTAAGAGACTAGACTGGCAGCGAGCGAAACATTGTTTCTCGAAGCGCGCGCGACGGCATCGGTAATTAATAATTTACATAATACATATTTACGGTGGCGTTGTGTTGTAAGTCCGACAACCCTCCCGCAAGTCCGCGAGCGACGACGATGGCGGATACGGCAACGGCGCGGAAAGTTTACAGAATTAATTTACACGGGGCCGCTCACGAACAACGGTTACTGCGGGTATTTCATCCCGGCGTAGCCGCGCGCCACGTCGCGTCGCCTATATATGCAACGGGTGTCCCGTGCTGTTCTCTCTTGCCATGAATGAATGACGAGGTGATCCTCGACACGACGCACATGCGGTAGAAGAGTGGAGACGAGGAACGAGGGTGAGCATCTGCGCGATGCCTCGCCCGCACAAGTTACAACGCCATTCTGTAAGTAGGAGCACTTCAAAAGCCGACGACTCTGCCATTACTCGACAGCGGGCATTATGCCGTCGCAAGTGCAGTGCAGCGCGGAGATGCCTCTAGTCGTTCTTGCGATCGACTCAAAACTGAGAAAGTGCACGCTACGCGCTACGTCCTAACCGTCCGAAACGTTTATGAACGAAATTACAACGCGACGACGCAGCTCGAAATTAAAACCGTTTGATGATGGATCGCCTTTTCTCGTCGAGACGAGCGACACGAGCGTACTCCGAATGTGCTTAATGCACTCGCAGCTTTATCCGCTGTAATTCCTCGCAAGGGTGAGACGACGGTCTAATAACGCTGCGCAATGTCAGTTCGGAAATTTGATATTGATCGACGATCGACAATCCTTACCATCAATTCTAATCATCCATCTGATATATCAAATCTATAATGAAGTGACTAACGGACGACATTCCCGTTTTCCGCCGGGAGATTTCGTCCGATCTCTACACGAAAATCCCTTCCCGCCGGGTTTGAAAACCGATTAGCCAACATCCCAATTCAGGGAAATCACTGGGAAAGGCCAATTAGTCGCACGACTAATTGTAAAAGGAGACTAATGAGTGCGCATTAACAGGCAGATCGTCCGACAAACGTCAAGCGATTTAACGCAAGTCATACGACATGCATGCGAGTAGTTTAAACTTACAAACCGAGTCCTCGCGCGACCGCCAATTGGACGCAGGACGACAAGCAGAGGCCGCTCTCTATTTGGCCTCTCGCATGAGGACCCATCTGGAACTACTCGGTATTTTCACGCGCGATGTAGCGGCAACGCAGTAACAAACATTAACCAGCTCGCGTAACAAGGAACTTAAGCGGAAGGTTTTGGGCAAACCCTTTATTCTAAACAACGTCTAAACGGTCGGATAGAAATTGTATATACCGAAATGCAATTCCGACTGTACTTTCATTATTCATTAGATAAGGATAAAACTGATAACGTTTAACGGTCTATGCAGAATGTCTCATCAAAATTAATAACAAATTATTACGACTTTTAAGCTCGTCATAAAATACCCTGTATAATTTTCCATTTTATTCTCTTATTTCCGCTTCCGATCCTCTTCTTTGCTTTGTCTTTTTCAATTCTTTCCTCTTTTTTTTCTTTCGTTCCTTCATTTTATGCTCTCTTCTTCTTCTTCTTTTCTCTACCCTCTTTTCCTCTTTTCGAGCTTAAAAGAGTCCTTGACATCAGAGGTCGCTAAATTACGATACCACGATGTGCTGTGCTAATGAAAATCGTCGCAAGCGTTTTCACAGAAGGGTCAGTGGGCGATGCCCGTGCCTAATGGAGTTCAGTATTGCAGTCAACTTTCAGGGCTGGTTTTTTTTTTTTTTTTTTTTGGACAAACGGCCGTGCCAATTTTATTGACTTGGCGCAAACACAAGCGCGCGTCGCGATACACCGCGTCAATTAAATCGGACGAACTGTGCAACCAAACCGTGCCTTTCGATAAGCGACCGAGCGCAACTTCTCGAGCTTTAATGTGAAAATACCACGGAAAGGTCTATTTCCCTTCAAAATTCGAAGTTTTACGACCTACGTGAATTTGTGAAACGATCAGCGGCGGGTCAGATTACCCTGGAGATCCCGTGTCGAAAGGTCTTAGGATACTTTAATAACAATCTGAATTATTTCATATTGCAACAGCCTTCAACATTGAAATAACCTCAGATTATACGATGTTTTATGCAGAGATGTTTTATGTCGGAAACGCGAAAATTCGCACATTCATCTGATATACGTAATAGAAATGGTAAACGTTTCCCTTTAAAAATGCAAATGCTGAAAAGTCGCGACATAAAAGAGATGCACCATAACAACATTCTGTCATAAAATATATCCGTGAAAAAACTTACATTTCTTTTTTGTTACAATTAATTATATTACTATTCTATGCATGCACCGCGCACATGCAGGGTATTAAACGGAGCATATCAGCCTGTCTTCAAGGTCCTTAACGTCTTGCAAAATGAATTAATGAATATTACTTCGGAGATTAACATTGGTTCGTGTTTTCAGGTCGCGTGATTCAGCGTAATTACATATTCCCAGTATGACTGTACGATGACGTGATGTCTAAACACGATGCATAGAACTTTATGCAGTTACTCGGGATCTGAGACGAGCCAGAGAGACGAAGTCATGGCTCACTCGGGGAGTTACAGCGCTGTTTGCGAAGTAATAACTCCACTAACTCAAATGCTATTCTATGGCTACAAACGTTACCTGACATACGCTCAAATTATCGGTACACGTTTCCGAGACGCAGGTGTATTTCTAACGCACCGAGATACAAGATGCACAAATACGATATAATCGCTAACATGCGAATCTTAATGTGATAACGAGAGACAATGAGATTCAGGTGGTTTTATCGAGCAAGTCCCAGTCAAAAGTTAGTTCCTCCATATAACTAATAATTCAATAAAAATAAGCGTAATTCAATAAAAACATTTTGCACAGACTGTACATATGCGATTGTGTGACGTTTATGTGACACTATCGAGTTGGCGTTGAGCGATAAAACCACCTTAAATGAGATTGATCTATCAAATTTCATTTCTTTCTTTTTCTTCTTTTGCAGACACAGTTTTGTTTTAAAATTTTAGACTGTAATGATGTTCTTTGAAGTAGTGAGAAGAAGTTCTTCATTAATTTTCTGAGAGGCACGTGCAAAAGAAACACAAATATGTAAATTAAATAAAGTATAAAGTAATTGAATATTTAATATTAAAGTTATTGCAAAATAAATATAGTTAAAAATAATTAAAGTGATCCGTGTAAACATATAAATTTAAGCGAGAAAGGAGAGCGAAGGGGAACGCGATCGCGATACTCGGGATAATCGTCGGGGACGAGTAAAAACTGATCGCGCAAATTTATGCGATTTGTTCGAGTTTGTCGAGTAAATAACGAGCGCCCTTCGTCGCTCCACTGCGTACTCAGTCCTACGCGATATATCGATCCTGTAAGCGTGTGTGCGTATATGAGAGTGTGTAGATTAGGTTTCGGGCGACATGGGGCGCTAATGAACGGCGGGTGTCGTTTGCACGCGAGGGGGACCCCGGAGAAAATTTTCAAATTTGTGTTTACGCCCCCAGCCAGGCCGGAACCGACCCTGGTTGCACCGTCTGCTCTCACTTCGTGACTCCCTCATCCACGAGCCTGCGACATCTGACTCCGTGGCAAATGAATGTACAAATATATCCTACGTAAATAGCGACGAGATTTATACCACGGCACTGCCCCTCGCCATTCTCCCTATCGTTTCAGCGTTCATTTTATATACCCCCTTCCCGTTCATCCAATCATTCTTGCGCTCTCTGACTCGCGCAGGTTTATTATATCTCTTTATTTAATCTTGTTAATTATCTACAGATTATATTTTTTCTTTTATTATATTGATGTACCTGATATTATATAATATTTCTCCAATTATTTATTTATAATATATAAGTATTTATTTATTTATTCGATAATATATCGTGCAAAAGGTTTTTCGTTTCGAATTTCCTTCCTCGTCCTGCATCGCATTATTCTTGTCAACGTGGCTATCCTCTTTTCACCGCTGTGCCCCCAATCCTCCTCCCTGCCCCCCCCCCACACCCCTACACTTTCCTCACAGCTTCGAAATCACCTGCGCGCGAGTTAGTTTCCCAGAGTGCACTCTCTGTATTCGACGATTCGAAATGCACGGACGTCGAGTTTCGCGGGAATCGCACGAGAGTGAGAGATGTAACTTTGGCTGTCGTTACGATTTCAATTCTACGCTTCGAACCACCACGAATCGCTCGCTGACTGCAGACGGGTCCATGACGGAAGCGACATGCAGATACAAACGAGAATGAGTGCCGCGAGCGGTGAGAGCGAGTGAGTATAATGCGGACTGCAGCGAAGAGAGCATTACCAGAAATACGGTGAGAGTCGGGATTTTCGTGTTGTACACCGCAAAATCACGATACGTTCCGCGATTGCAAAATGTCGTGCGAACGATTGCTAGATAAAACGCAGCATATGATTACATCGCGGAAGATACTGAAGAGTAACGAAAGAATTAAACTAAAATATTCTGAAGAGATAAAAGTTGGAATCTCTAAATTGAGAAACGCATAACGAAGAAAGGGAGAAAAATGTTTTCTTTATCTCTAAGTATCGCGACGCGATTAATTAATATCTGGTGAAATGCAAAAAAAATACGCGTTTACTGCACAGTCCACGTGGACAGTTAATGGAAAAGCGTAATGCTTGCTACAAACTCTTTATCTCGTATACAGCGACATTTGATTTATGCACACGAGAAACGATGGCGCGAGCATTACATGATGCGAGCGAACGTTTCTTTGCAGTTACAGCGGCAATTTGTTACAGCGTCACAACGGTAATGCGCGTAATTTTACATAGTCGGTGTGTGCCAAGTTTATTAATATTCTGGCTCTGGACGATAACAGACATACTATATACGTACGTTACTCTCGGTACTGGTGATATTAAAGAGTAGCGGGCGAATATTTTTTAAGTTTATGCGTATGAATAGCTAGCATACATAATATATTAAAACCCACAAAAAATAGTACCGTTATGCAAATTAATAAATGTTACTGCACAGTTTAGAAACGTTTCAATATGCCAGGGTGTTAAAATATATGTTTGCTAAGATATTCTTATCTGAGGAAATTATAGTTTTAATCGTCTATTTTTCCTCACAACACAGACGACGGAGTCGCACTTGAAAATAATGATTGAATTATACTTTCGATTCAGTCAAGAAACGCAATCGCTCGACGATCGAAAAGCACCATCCGGATAGAAAGCGATAACCGCGCCGACCGCGATATATATCGCGTTTCCTAAGAAAAAAAAACGGCGTAAAAACGGTGAGTGTCAGACATAAAGGCGACATAGGCGTGTCCGAAGCCACGCACTAATACGCGGCGAGTGGTTCGTGCAACCGTTACATCGAGCTCGATATTACCTCGGCGATGCAATGTATGCCCAGGGTAATTTCCACGGGTTACGCGAGTGGGTTTGTTTTGGCTGGGGTAATATCGCCCCTCTGCGCGCCCCCTCTCGCTCTCCTATCCCTACGAGCGAGGGGGGTTTTCTCTCGTATTCGCCAACCGCTGTTTTTGTCCCCGCGGCCATCATCCTCCCCCCGTTCAGCTGCAGAAAGGAGAGAGAGGCGCCGAGACAACGCGCTCGTGAAAAATGTATCCGCCGCGAATCGAACCCTTGCCGCTAAAAACCGCTAACCTCCCGACGAAAAAGTTATTACGCAGACAAAACACGCTGCCGGGTGGACTTTGTTTGAGCGGCTCTTCCCTTCCCGTGCCCGATGGGGTGCTTTTTCAAAAACGTCGTCTCCAAACAAGCAGTGCCGGAAGGATAAAGAGACTTGGCGTGAAACAGCTATATACGATTCGGAGAAAATACTGTGAGTGTACTTCAGAGAAGTACGGCCGCTCTACATTTCGTTTCATGGTTATATGAAGTAACATAATCAGTTTCCCATTTCACGAAATAAATTACTTCTAATTATGTGCGTGTATTTAAAATCAGATTATATATTAACTACTCTGTTTCTAGTTTTCGCTTTATTAGCGCAATTTCTTTCGCGTAAAAAAGAGAAAAAGAACAAATGATTAGTTTTTCATACCGCGATCTCGCAACAAAAGCGAGCTTGTTATTTACAGCATTAAAACTGCTCTTTTAATGGAGGAGCGACTTCGACTATTATTTCTGCATTTTACTGTTCACGAATTCGGACCATTTCTCTAAACGGTGGCAACTCACCGTGATTGCCCGCCTTTTCAATTAGATCCGCAAATCCTCTTTGATTCGAATTGCATTGCCACCGATTTCCCCGGGTCATAAATGTTTTGACGATTGCATCGAGCGTCATGCAGATGCCAATCATTGCTAATTGCTGATCGTTATGCTCGAACATATTAAAAGTTAACGGAGAAACAAAAGTGTATAGAAGAGGCAGAACGCAAATAGAATAGCTATTTGTTCGCGGATGAACAGATTTCTATTGTTGCATTGACATTTAGCAATTAGTAATGTAATTAATGTGACCACTAAAGTCATTATAATTTCGACGAGTTCAAATATCCGTGCCACAGACGATATCTAACACATAGGTATCTGCTCGTTAAAATACGAACAATTTGCCGTTGAAAAGCGCAGTGAGATATAAATTTAATTTTTCACATTTTGGTGATGCAAAAAATTTTTTTGAAAGTATTTTATGTACATAGAGTGCGGACACTTTTCGTACGTGAAAGGAAAAAAATGTAAATTTACATCACGCGCCGCAAAATAATTAACCCTTTGTTCCCAGCGGGTTGTCGGGCAACTCCACAAATTTTTTTCATTTTTGCCTTTATAACAGCTTACAATGGCAAGTCTTAGCCACATAGAAAATTTAGTCTTGAGTTCGTCAAAAGGAGAAAAAATTTCCCGGTTGTAGCAGTCGGTAATACATACCTAGATAGCACAGAGAGTGAAAAAAGAACTCAGTTATATGTTACCAATTTTGAGTTTATTTTCAGATGCAAAAAGAATTCTTTTTCTAAAAGGGATTCTTTTTACATCTGAAAATGAACTCAGAATTGATGACATAAAACTGAATATATTAATAAATTTTTTTGGGCTCTGTGTGCTGTCTGGGTACTCTATAGGGAAAATAGAATCAAAAATATACTTTAGAAAATTAATTATTATAAGGTTAGCAATTTTGTTCTCTGGGATTACGTCAAATAGTAAAAATTGAACAAATGGACAGATTATTATCAAGTAATTGATAATTCGATACGGACTGCACGCGAATGATGAATGACACGTTTTTTTTTCGTTATACTTGCGATCAATAAAGATATGCGTATCGCGCTTAATAATTGGTAGCAATCTCAACGTTCGATATTCTCGAGGGGGGCATACGTTATCGTCGATTAATTGGGAGACCACGTCAGGGGTTTCGAGGAGTTATTAATTGGACTATTATTAATTCAGCATGTTCCTCGTGAGTTCTCTCTTGAACTCTCGATGCGAGAGGTCGCGGATCGTAGTTATCTACAGCAGTTAGTGTACTCGATTATAATTTATTATTAAAATAGTGCGCTTCATATTTTACGACAGCATTTATTTTATCTTTTCTATAACATCATATAACATTTTTATATAATATCTCCTCCTGTTTCTTCTTCATATAAAAGTTTTATAATTGACATTTCTTTTGTATATTCCTCATTTGAAAGATGAATAGACAAATTTAAAAAAATTTATCAGGTTTATCACACTGAAAAAATTCAAATATTTCACTCTAATAATGGAATATTCTATTCCATGGCATTTTAGTTCAAATTCTTTTGTATTAAATAATATTATTCTGCATCATACTACTTTTATTCAAGAAATGATTTCTACATATAAAGATTTTATTATTTTCAACAAATAAATTGTGCTATTTAAAATATCGACGAATATCGGTATTACACAATTTTTCATATTGTTTACTATTGTTTTATTAGAACAACATAGCAAGCTGAGTTGAGAAATAACATTTACGTAACATGCTACCTAGTTTACGTCTACCTTATTGATTTACCTCTCCATCCGCATCCCGAATAGAATCAACGCTACCGTCGTGGGGATTTTACGAAATAATTACCGTAACATGATTAGAAGCTATCGCTCGACGCGCGACATTTAATTAGACAATAATTAACGCTTGCTCCAATTTCAAAGTCCTCACAGCACGGGCAAACAGATGAAGCTGTGAAGTATTCATCAATACAATGATCTCCATAGCCAAATGAGTATAAAAGAAATTATTTCTTTATTTCTTTATTTATTTGATTATTTTATGTGAACATTAAGAATATTATCAATATTTCTTAAAAAAGATGCATAAAAAAGGCATTATTATATGTTTTGGAGTTTTGAATTAATTATTGTCAAGAATAATATAATTGTTCTTAGTAATATAATTCAAATAGAATTGTCTGTCAAACAACATATACAGTAGATATATCATTATAATTCAGAAAGCAAGTTATCAATGCTTTACTAAAAGTTTAACAATATGAATAACGATTATAAATTCTTTTAGAATCCACTCAACAAAATAAAAAATCTATTCGTCGCTTTTTATCTACGGTTACAACTCTTACAACTTTTATTAACCAAAAGGAAATCGATATATCATTAATTCATCCGAGAAGTGAGCACGACGATAAGCTTCATTAAGAATAAATGACCAATATTAGCGGCAACGTGAACAAAATGCTCGTTAGCGAAATACATAGCTTCCTTTTATTAGAACTGCTAATAGAAAACACATTGAACTATGTTACATTTATTATTCCGGGAATAAAGTTTTAAAAATCTTTAAATAAGTTTCAAAAGATATTCTACTCTTTACGAGATTCTCTTCCCAAAAGTTCTATTCTTCGTTTGGAAACTTTTTATAGATACAAACTTAATCGAAAGCTTAATGTATTTCCGTTAAATACAAAATAGTCTAGTTGCACGCTTGCAAAATGTCGTTTTTCTGCAACGAAGTAAGTGCAGGAGTTCGTCGTTCCGAAAATTCCAGCGAAAAATAAAAACGAGTCGGACTAAAGGGCAAACGGAGAAAAACGGCAGAGTGTTGCCCGGTAAAGCACCATAAAGTCTCATTGGCTTTAATTCGGTCGTACCCCGCTGGCCACTGGGGGTGATTAATCGTAACGTTACTGCAACACGAAAGCACCTTACCACCAATCATTCCCTACGATGCTTTAGAAAGAAAGTCGACAATGTTGCTTAATGCGTTCTCGTCTAATTGGTTATATTTGCTTTACCAGAAAAAACAAACCGAATGTTTAATAAAACGCACGATTATAATTTATTTTAAAAATGAAAAGAATAATTAGTTAATTGAAAAACATTTTATAAAGTATGTTCATATATATTATGTGTATCAAAAAGTTCCCATCAGTCGAAAGAGATTATCAATCTAGTTCTGCTACTAGTAACTACTACAAATATCTGTATTCCCATTTATTAAAATTCATCGTAGAGGAAAGGAAGAGCTTTCGGTTTATGGCAATGAAAAATTCAGTTACTTTTAAAAGGAAAGGAAGAAGGTCGGTCAATGTTTAATCTTTAAATAGAACAGGATGTACATTCTTATGCCTCCCGTTGTATCTCTTATTAAATCTTGGAAGTTCTTAAGACCTATCTTTAATTTTTTATTAAGTCCACTTCAAATTGCTGAATGGATCCGTAGATGAAAGTGCAGCCCCGAGCCCGAGTATATAAAAATTATGATGTTTCTTGTTATTGCACAAAGCACAAAAACAGTGTTTAAAACAATGTTTAAAAGCTGCATTTAATTAAGCTAGTCAATTTAATTTCGATTTTCGGACAGGAATTATATCTATGCTTGAGAATGGGAAAAACATGTGAAAGAGTAAATGTAAAATAATTCTCGCTACATCATTTACAAAATCGGAAAAGCTTTGAGCTTCACACATGTATATAGCTGCCATAAATATGGCAAATATTCGGAAATGAAGTGCTGCTCTTAAATCCGTTCGCCAGTGTTTAAAAGCGAAAAGTGTATTATGTCCCGAACATAATCCACGTACCGCGCGTATGCAGGTCAGGTGAAACGAAATGAAACGTTTATGAATTCTCGAAGAGCACGTTTATTTCCCTTCATAAATATGCATGTCCCACGATATTTCGCGGTGCAGAAAACCGGCGATATATGTATATGTACATATATACGTATGTGTGTGGTTTTTTTTTTCATTCGATCGGTGTCGGACCGCTGATTGAAAGCGCCCTCGCTGTGTTTCTGTTTCAGCTGCGCGAGTACACCCTGACCGAATCGTATCACGAAGACGAAGTCGAGGTGGAATTCGTCAGCAATGATAATCTGCAAGCGAACAGCGAGACCCCCAGAGGAATCGATCCAAACAGGGATCTAAACGAAGCCATAGCCGAGGAACGAAGGGAAATGGACACCCAGAGATACAGGTACGTTTCCTCCACTTCCACCGTCTTTTTCATCTTTCTCTTCGTCCAAATGAACTTTCTACTTCGTTTTTTTTGTGGATTTCCGGCAATGAAAAGTCGTGCTTTTTACCACAAGTGATATTTGGTAAGTGGATTTCAAAATCAAAGAACCACCCTTTTTCCCTTCTTTCTACGTGCTTGCATTTTTGATCTCGTTATCGAATTTGTTCAAATTCGAGTAGGTCAATCAAATCAGTCGAGAAATTTAAAAAAAAATTAGTTATTTTTAAAACGTAGAATATTTTTAACGTCGCGTGTGTTAATAAATATAATCTATATAACACAGTATATTTTACAGTTTGGAGATATGAAATAATTTCAAATAAAGAAGAGAGAAAGAGAGAGAAAGAGTAGCCATTAGATGAGTAATTATTACAATTCATAAAGCGCCTTTATTAAATAGATGCTACAGTATCGCAATAATTTTATAATAAATGCATCTTGTAATAGGGCAATTCTCTCGTATTTCTTTCTGTATTCTGTATTCTGTATCTTCTTAAAACACTGTTATTCGATTAAGATGGATAAACAGAAGTAGCCTTACTACTATCCCATAAACTTACGATTTATAAGAGAGTCGCCGAATGAAAATTCCAAAGTTCGAATCAGTTCGTTAAGCCTAGCTACCTAATGCTTTCTCTTCAAGTTTTAATTCCTCCAGGGGTGTCACCCGAAGGCAAAGCTCTTAAGCTCGGAGATACAGAATAGGTAGTAAACGTCTCCTTCCCGACGAGAGAAGGTTGCATAAGCGACGAGTATGTATTCAATGGACGCATCTGCGTCAAGTATATTCCATCTCGGAGAAATTACGGTCGCTCGACAACGTTTGCATATCGATATCGAATTTTGGAAATGGCATCACTGCCCAAAAGCTATTCATGTACACTACTATTTTGCTTTTTTTCCCCTCGAAGAGAAGAGAAGCAAATGTTCGTAAAAAATTATAAAATTTTATGACAGAGTGATGTAAAACACTGAATCAATTTTCTCGCAACAAGACTCAAAACACGCGCTGCTATTAGATATTTATCGAGGGTAATTCCACGCACAAAGTATATAAATAATAGCCCGAGAAAAAGTTCATACTTTGAAAAATGACAGTATCGATTATGAATAAGGCTCTTTTAAACACATTTAACTCTCGATTTTAAATAATTTACAAGATGTAATGTAAGAATCTCTGATGTAAAAGGAAAAGAAAGCAAATTACAGAATTTCGAACACTAAAAAAAAATAATATACGTTCTAAAAATTGTAATAAACTTTCGAGAATTCCATCTTCAATTGCCATGCATTTTGCAATTCGCTTGCAACACATGTTTACAAAAACTTTTTTCCTTGCAATGACCAATACTGTCACCTACCAAAGTATTGACCTTTCCTCCCGGGACGCTCTTGCTTTCCTCTCACTTTATGAAAGGCCCCGAGACTAGATCCGTCCAGCCTTTCACCACTCTCTTTTATGACACGAACTCGGATCGTTCTTCTGTGCCTTCCAGCAGTGCCCCTTCATGCCCTTACGAGATTTCTCGTCTGTCCCTTCAACATGCACCTTCTCGCTCTATTTCTCTCTTTAACTTTTACGATGGAGAACTCGAGCGGAGGGTCGCATGAAGATTGCGAGTCTTCTTCTCACGATGTCGTCCTTACTCGACACTCGGAAAAATCGCCAGACTTGCCCCGTGACATTTGACAATTCCGTATGACATTTACGCGATAATAGAACGGAAATATCCTAATACGCCTTTAGAAGAAAATTCATCTGTTGGAAACACAAATTTCCACTTTCTCCATATTACTTCGATAACGTTTCTCAAGTCTCTACAATTAGCCCTAATAAAATTGCCTACTTGTTATTCCCATATATATATACATGGTGAGGTGCAAACTGTGAATTACTGCTAACATTGTTCGCTCCAATTGTATAGGAATAAGAGTTTAAAGAGAATTTATGGAGATGTTTTAAGATCACTTTCTCACAGCGTAAAAATAAAATGTTTGTATTTTCAAATTCGAAATAAAACTTCTCATTTGAGAGATCATAAATAGTAAATGATCGTATTAATACCACGTTATCGGTTCTAGATATAAAATTTATATGACTTACTGACAGCGCTCGATTTACCAGTGCAATTTAATAATAATCATTATATAATTTTAACCGAAATATAATTAACCTAATTATGATAATTATAATACCTCTCTTCCTTCTCTTTAGAATTTTTAAAAATTTAAAATAAAATTATTTTCCAACATTAATTTAATTATATATAAATAACTGTAACTTCTGTGTATATAATTATATTTCGTAATATTCCTTTTGTAGGCAAGCAGCTGATATATATCAAAGATATGTAATTACGCTTAAAAAAGAAAAGTTAATCGATGGTCACAAAATGTTTGTTGTATGTATGTATGTACATACGTGATGATGAAAGTAACATTCTTTTTTGTTTTTTTTTTAATTTTATTAGAACGGAAAAGCCAACCGAAGTCACCCTCGAGCCACAAATGCAATTTATCGCGAAACGCAACTAGTCAGATTGTACGATGTAGCCATTGATTATCAATAACGGCATTACGCATCCGCGGGAGTCATATGATCCTCGTCGGTTTGTCGGCCGATTCAAACACAAATTTATTATTTCGTTATGATATTACGTATATATGACGACATCTTGCGTCTTCTTGTATCCGCAAATGCGTTTGAAAAATGTCCTTTTTGTCCTTTGAGACTCAACTTTATAATTCATTGCCTGTCACCGAGGCAACTCTACCATTGAATTTTTATTATAATTAAAAATAAATTACAGGAAATTATGGGAAAATATTTTTAATAATTTAATTAATATAGTCAACACACACACACACACACACACACATATATGTATATATGTATTAAGATTTTAACCCTCATTAATCCTTAAAATATGCTACTGTACTAATTGTGAGATAAATGATTATGGAGCATCTTATTAAAAAAAATCTGAATATCACTGTTAATTCAGATCTTTCTATACAAAATGTCCACAATTATGTATCCCACAATTAGTACAGTAGCATACTTGAAGCTTAATACAGTTAAAATTCTATAATACAAAAACATCGAAGTCACGATCGATAAGGTTCTCAGTTTTAAATGATTAATTGTACCGCATACCTATAGTTTGCAAGATCCATAACTGCGTATTCTAATATTCGCATGTATTCGGACCATTATTTGTGTAGTGTATATTTTTATAATCCTAAATATAATTTGCATTTTTCTTTTTATCTCTAGTCGGGTTCTTAAAGCACCATAAAAAGAAGTGCAATAAAGCTTCTCAACAGCCAAACGACTTTTTCGCATTGCATCTGAAGCAGTTGGATGTACGTACGTTTGACATCCGATGGCTGATTACGATATTACTTTTCGCGGACGTCCTGATTCGCGACAATTTCTACGATACGTACAGCGTATCCGGCGGTTCGCTGTAATATCCGGCCGGAGCTCGCGGTAATGCCAGGCCGACGGAAAACATCGACACTATACGACGGTGAGAAACGTACGAGAGGAGCCTGAAAATAACGTTATAACGCGCCGCTCGCTGTTATATCGTCTCCTACGTTTTATACTTGTTTTACTTTGCCGGGGCGGACATGCTGGGCGAGATTTTCATGACCTCCAATTTCGATCAAGCTGTCCGACAAAATTGGGAAAATAGAGGGGACATTTTCTCGCAAAGCCAATTGAGCGTCGAGCGTATGAAATATTACAGATGGCGAAAAAAATATTTGTATGTAGGAAAAATACAGCGATTCCGACAAGATTTTGTTTTGAAAATATTGAAAAAAAAGAATGGCAATAAAGACAATTTTCATATTCAATCACACGTTTATTAGATTATCCGTTTACAAATATCTGTAATACCGATTCCTGTAATTTGCTAAACAAATGATACCGCACATATTTTAATCTATCAATCGTGTGTTATCAGTAAGAATCCTATTCATGTTGTTTTCTTATCTCGTTCCTACATAAACTCAATCAGAATAAAATTCAAACCAATATTCAAAAGGAAATAATACAACACTCTTTTGTATTTCTAACTATACTGCAGTGTCTTTAAATCATTGAATATTTTTATTCAGGAAAAATTAATTCTCTTCGATCAAAAAATCAATGGCGAAAGATCTTTAGTTTACATTTTTCGTGCCCCTTTCTGTATCGCTAAAAAACGAAGGCACGATAACTGATGTATTAACCGATCGAAGCCGTACAAAAGGCCACAAACGCCTCGGAGGGGCAATCGAATCGATACACACGATCGGCGGTTGATCGCGTGCACCTTGCGTGAAGACCGACCGCGCGTTCGCTTTATAGGCCTCTCGTATCCTTATCCATCCAATATCCGGCTGACGCGCCTGGCTCCGCCAAGATCGATAAAGCTTACGTTCGATGACACTCGAGATCGATCTGTGTAACCCTCCCATCCCCTTCCGCGCGCCGGGTAGCCAATCTCTTCGGAACGTTACCGCAGATTCGATTCCATTCAACGCTATCTGGCCACTCGGCAAGGAACGATCGTCGTTTCTGGTAATTGCTATTGTGCCTTCGAGGCTGTCGCTGATACTGCTGCTGCCCCCCTTTGGGACGCGACCCTCCGATCTTTCTATTTTCCTGCTCTTCGTCTTAACAGATTAAATCTTACGACCGGATCATCCTGGTCATTTCCTAGTCCGGGACTCGTGGACTAGGAAGAGCGTTTCGCTGGAACAATGCGACCACGACAACGATATATCTCATTACTGAACAGCCATTGAGTTGATTTTCTTCGAGGGAGGACGTAGCAGGATATTAATTTTGCGGAAAGCTTGTCGATATAATAAACAAAATTGTGTATCTCCGTTCGTGCTGTATCTCTGTAGGATTGCATTGAATATTGCAGAGAATTAATTTTTATTATGAAGGAAATAAATCT